CTCCCTCCCCTCCCTCTCTCCCTCCCTCTCTCTCTCTCTCCCTCTCTCTCTCTCTCTCTCTCTCTCTCTTACACCCCCTCTTCCCTCTCTTTGAACCTTAAGGTCGGCCCGGTCAAGCAAGAAGATTCCCAGACCGTCACAGCGTTGTTGTGGAGCATCTTTGGGTTGGAGAGCTTAGGCGGGCTTAGCTCCCGTGGTGTTTTGCGAGGAGTTGCTGTATACCGAGCGCCCTGGGCTTCCTTTGGTTGGCGAGGCCTAGAAGTTTTGCGATGTGTCACTTGAAGCTTCTCCCGTCCACACCCAACTAATGATGTACGATGACCGCACCCATTCCCACGTTTTGATAATTACATTGTCTTGACAGCCGAAATGTACTGAAGGGCCCCCCCATTAGTTTACACTTTTCTTGGTGGCATTGATGTCACATGATCACCGTACTGCAATATGTTCGATGCCTTCCCCTAGGCTCAACTCATTCCCGCAATGCCCACAATACACAAAGGCTTTGCTTGCAGCAATGACTGCTGCTCATGGCTGTTTCGATCCTTCTGATGCTGGCTGGCTATTGCCGCCCCCCCCGCCTGATATTGTACACAGTTGTACATCTGCAGCTGGGGTGATTGTAAATTTCCATGGGGTGAGAGTAGGGCCTCCAAAAGCTGTTGGTTTGCTCGCCTTGTCATGTGATTTGATAACTTAGAAAGCTTGATTGCTGGCCTGCTTTGCCAGGAAGAGACACTCCTACACTCAGCTTGGAAGGAGCCCTGGACCAAGACTTTTATTGGGGTGTAACGGTCACATTCATTTATCAAGCATTGATTTCCTGCGTGCTTTTGCTCAGGACCTGCGTTGCGGGCTCCCTCCTGGCTCTTTTCGCGACAACCCGCAGTCAGGCACCATGTCGTATCCTCTTCCTCCGCAGTGCAGCAGAATGTTCTCGTCGTGTGCCAGTCGGTTCAACCCTGGTCCTTCTACCAGATTGGCCCAAGCCTCACCCGGCGCTTTGAGCAAAAACTGCATGTGCCGACCGGTAAGGATTGTCCTTGATCACCGGTTGTGCCTTTGAGGAGGCAAGGTGCAAACAAACTGCCTGCGCTTGAACGATTTTAGGTCGCAGCAGCCTCATCGCATGCCTGAGGCAACTTTCTTCAGGCTCTATGGTATAACACCTTCTCAAGCAAGAGCCTTGGCACGTACCGCCGCCTAGCACCAGCACGTGTTCGAGTTGCTCACATGATTGCTGTCAGATCGCATACAACTTCTACGTGCTGGGACTGCCTTATCATCGCCCAAACCCAGTGCTGCACATACAGGACCTGGGCCACATCTGACAACTCAGTCCATACTGCAGCCTGTCAGCTCTTCAGGAGGCCGAGCTGGGGAGATCTGCAGAAAAGCTGCAGGATCCCGAGGACTGCTTCATACAGTTTCATGAGAAGCCTCTGCTATGTGCTGATTGACCTGCAGGACGCCCCTCTGGTCATTGACATAGGCAGAGATGAAAGCGGTTCCCTCACTGGTGTTTGTGCGAGCATCTTGTGAGGCATGGGCCTGGGAGCGGACACGCGTCACTCTTAGCCACGATGCTTCTCAAAGGGTGTTGCTGTACAAATGGGGCTCTTGAAGTCTTCAGAGTGCTCCAGGCGATACTTCCTGTCACAGGGATTCCGCGTTGTGGCCGTGGAAGCCAACAGACGGGCGATTGAGGTGTGCTGCACACTACACACCAAGACGCCAAGTCTTAGGCCGCCCTGAGCAGGTAGCCATGACAGTTGATTGGGTCAAGCTGTGCACTGAGATCTGACTGGAATGGAGTTTAGGGTGGGGGTGGGGGGGGGGAGGAATCTAAGGGTTATATAGGGAATCCATTATATTGCGACTATATAGGGTTATGTGGTTTAGGGCTGAAATCTATAGAATCCTATTATATACTATGATATCCTAGAATATTCTATAACATATTAGAATATCCTATAAGATACTATAATATACTACAATACTCTGACTGTTTTCCGTGGGCATCCTTGGATGGTGTCTGAGGCCTTTGGTGCTTGATGGTCAGCTTGTCTTTCTTCACGCTGCCAGATCCTCAGAAGCGCTGTGTGGTCATGCAAGACCTATGGGATTACATAGGGATTACGGTTTAGGTTTGGTTTAGGGTTTAGGGATCAGGGCTTAGGGTTTAGGGATTAGGGTTTAGGGTTTAGGGTTTAAGGGTTTAGGGTTTTAGGGTTGAGGGATTAGGGTTTAGCGATTAGGGTTTTAGGGTTTAGGGATTAGGGTCTAGGGATAATGGAAAGGAAGCTGGAAACTACTATATTCTAGGGATTATAGACCAGCCTATAAGGGTCCATGAAAAAGTGGGAAGCCTCGGCAGAAGTTCGAAGCACATCTTTGGAGGTTTCCCAAAATTAGAGGTACCTTTTGGGGTTCCTTAAAATGAGGATTAGACAATTTTGGGGTCTGTGTATCGGGGTTCTCCTATTTTGGGAAACTACCATTTAACCTGTCAAAATCTTCCCTACTGCCCTATTGCTTCATGCGGATGGCAGTTTCTTTCCGAGGCTGTTGCGCCGCCTGGAATGGGTGGCAGCACAACCACTGTCTACGCGTTCGACGAGCGTCCGGACTGCGGCTTTCACGTGCGCTGTCCAACTTTGACTTGAAAAGCCATGCGGCAGCAGCCCAACAGGTCCAAGCTTTGTGACGGCAGTGTGACGACTTCGTCATCAAATTCTTTCTGTTCGCAAGGAGCAAAGCAACGCACAGGCTTGGGTGGAAGAAGTCGGTGGTGTGGCCAAGACGGTCCGCCCTGATCTGAGATTCAGACCAGCGAGGATCACCTCATGGGAGTGCGCAAAAGTTGGTTTCCTTTCCGCATTACCTGGTCACTGCTTGCAAACTGCTGGCGTTGTCTTCTCCGTTTGCTTGGTTTCCTCGCATTTCTGGCTTCCTTGGTCTCACTGTCACCCCTTGCAAAGCCTGCCCGCTGCTGCTGTTCTTGTCTTGAATTCACAGGTAACAGGTCACGTCATGACAGCTTGCACGCTTGCGGCTGCCTGCGATCAAAATGATGCGTGATGTGTGGCAAAGTGTTCGTGTGTTGAGACATTTATGCCAATTTATGCATAGACATTGCTGCAAGCTCTCAGTGTCATAGAGGTCAGAAGTCTGTTCCGGGACTGCCTGTTTAAACAACCCTCTCGATGATGCAAGATGATCGGGCTCTGCGGCTTTACATCACAGTCACAGGTTTGTTGTTCGCATTACAACTCTTACGATCAAGTCCGTTTCCTTCTTTTGCAATCAAGCGGCAACTGGCAAGGCACCATAGAATGTGCTGATCTGCTGCGCTTGTTTGGCACAGCAGTGCGGCAGCTCAGCGCAACTTGCGTTGGAGTCAGGAGTCTGCCATGTTGATGAGTGCTACTAGCAGCAAGGTCTACATGAAGATCGATGTGGAGTCCAGTACCATTGACTGTTTGGACTCTCTTGCGCAGTCGCAAAGAGACCCGAGCATCATCCCCAGCATTCAGAAAAGCTATCATATAGTATAATGTACCGTACTGTAATATAGTAGATTATAGTATTATATATACACATTATAACATACTATAGTATACTCTAATATACCATAATATACTCTAATATACTATAATATAGTAACATAATTTTGTCTCCAGGAATTTGGGCAGTCAAGGCCGGCGGCCCGCTTTGCCCAAGTTCCTGTCCATGGAGCTGGAGGACATCCGCGGAGGATTTAAGCGAAGGGTTTAGGGTCTAGGCTACATGAGCTATAGTGTAAACTCCTTATAGGGTTTGGGGTTTAGGGTCTAAACTCCTTAAAGGGGGTTATATAGGGGATTACATGGGATTATCTAGGGATAATCTACTATTTAGGGTTAAGGGTTTAGGTTTAGGGTATAAACTCCTTAAAGGGGGGGTATATAGAGGATTATACAGGGGAGTATTATA